TTACGAACGATCCTAGTTGTTGTACTAGGTGTTGTGAGTTTGAAACAAGATATTTTTTATTACTGAGAAATATTTATATTCAAATATATTCTTAAGATAAGTATATACAATCATTTGACCAAAACTATTCAATTTTGTATTAAACAAACGATACAATACAAAATTTGTTTCTATAAAATCTATGTAGATCATAAAATTAAGAATAGAATTCGTTTAACCGTAAGTATCAAGTATTTATTTTAAATGCTGCCTATTTTTAAAGTAAGAAATTATATTTCTGGGTAGAAATTTAAAGTATTTAAATAAATAAATAATTTTCTTGAAAGAAGAAAGTATTTTTTTGCGTACCAATACCAAGCACGCGCCAGTTTATCGCATTAAGAACAATCAACAAACAAGGAGCGTCGGCTCCTTGCACCCCTAACAAAGCACGTAAAATACGCAAATTGAAACAAAAAACATTTGAACATTATTTTTTGAAATAGATTTATCTTTTGAAATAAAAATACCTTCTTGGGATCTGTATTTTACTCACTATTCGAATACAGACGCCGCCAACTTGTACGCATAATAATAATACGCATAAACAGGTGTCGGTCGGCTGAAACTCCTGGCGTAATAAATACGCCGATGGGAGTCCGCAAAGTGCTATAATTCGACGTAGCGGCGGTAGCATCCCACTCAGAAATTATGCCGGGAGATTACAGTCAGGGCCCCATCAATGTTTCAGGCCGGATTAATAATTGCTGTACAGCGCTCAGGTTTCGTATACGGTTATGTTTCATTCATAAAACTCGTGCAGCTAGTTACTTCCGTGCACAGTCGACGCTGATGAGGGCTTAGTGAACCCGAAACAACAATTTATGGCGTGATAAATATTACTCCTTGAAAGTTTATGTATTTAAACTCACGAAGGGAATGTTTTCGAACGACTTCAGCAAAAAAAAAATAGAATTCGCCACGAAACAAACTTCTGATATAAAATCACCTTATCACCTAAGCCCCTTCTTGTCCTGCTCTACTCTCCCCTATATGAATTCGCATTTCTTTAAAAAAAAAATACTAATTTATTTACCTTTCATTTACTGTTCTCCCTATATCAATTTTCGGTTGGATCTTGTTCCCCAATACCAGAAACCATAAATCATATCCTGCAGAAGGAGGTAAGAACTGTTACGTCTATTCTGGAGATGCCGTTTGCGCGAGCGTTTATCAATGAGGGGTGTTAATAGCCTTTCGACTTGACTTTTTCGCGGAAAAGGAAACGCGGGTTTCCTGGATCGGTTTTATTAATTTACGAGCCATTTCCAGAATCGCCGTCTAAAAACTTTCGATAATTCCAAGAGATTTTGCTGTGATCTTCATTTCGCTTTGAGTTAACTTTTGTAACGTGTGATTTTCAGTGAATTTGTAGCAGCCTTTTGACGAGAATTGAAGAAACTAGTTTACCTCAGCTGAATGTTAGGGCTTCATTTTCAAAATGGCGTCCAAAGTTCGCAAAAACTGTTTATTTTTTTCATTAAAAAAAAACTAAACATTTTAGAAAAAAATGTTTTAGATAAAAGTTGTAGAACTTTTTATAACAAAAAAAATTTGAGACCAGCCCAATGTCAATTGATGAATAAATGTAGGCATTAGTTATTGCAAAAAAAACGGCTAAAAACCGCATTTTTTTAAATATTCTATATCTTTAAAACGAAAAAAGATTTTTTTATGAAACTGTCAGAATATGTAGTTCTTGGCAAGTTGAATAAGTGCAATTTTGTAAAATTGCAAAATATTGGATAGTTTTTGCAAAAATTGAGTTTTTCGAAAAAAATACATTTTCTTCAAGTTTCAATAAATCAAACGGAAATGTACTTACGTGACCCATCTTGGGCTTAAAATTTTCTCCAAGAGTTGTACTTTCCTCTGCAAATTGTACCCGTATAGCAAAATAATAGAAAAAAAAACTTTGACTTTTTTTTTGGGTCGAAGAATGTAGATCTTTTTCTTATCACTTATAATGTCCCTAGTGCTTGAATTATTTCCGGAATTTTTTCTTCTTAAACGTCACATAATTTAATCGCATTTTGCGCGTTTTTTTTTTAAATTCAAAAATGGCTCGTTTTGGAAATGAAAATTCCGAAAACATAAAAGCAGTCGAAATTAAGCGTATGGAGGCAGTTTCTAGTTTTTTTGTGCGGAAAGATCCTACAGTGTTGAAGATTCAACAATATCGATGACTGCGTTGGCATCAATTTTTGAAGATTATGCGTTTAACATGAAAAAGAAAAATTCTGATGATTACAAAGAATCTGTCGTTAAGGTAAAATACGTACTTTTAGATTATTTGACAAAATAAAACAAAATTGCAAAAAATATTGAACCGCTAAAATTATTTTCTTGTTTTCTTTTAGGTTATGTGGAACTCTACCGCAAATATTTACCTTTGCAATACAATTCACTTAGTATTATTAAAATAGAAGGAAAGTAAATTTTTGTAGAAAAGCGATGTCTATGACAGTTTATTAATGATCCTTATTAAACATAAAAACAGCACATTACATTCACTTTAGTAATAAAAAGGCATTTAATTTTTGAATTCAGATATTTATCTTTGCAGTATAATTCACTTAGTATTAATAAAACAGAAGGAAAGTAAGTTTTTGTGGAAAACCGATGTCTATGGCAATATATCAATGATTCTTAAAAAATCATAACTGCAATCAAGTAGGCTTAGGCTTGTGATGTCAAAATCGTCTTCGTTATACGACACGTTGACAGTCATTTTCTCTAGCTTCTAATTGTTTACAATTAAATCATGGCAGTGAACAACCAAAAAACTAATTTAAAACCTTATAGTATATGTAATTCTTGCACCAAAATAGGGGACATTCTTATGTCTCATAAAAATTTAAAGTATTTGCCATATTTACTGAAAAAAACTGGAATCAGTCCGCATCAAGAAAACCTTCTCGCAGCTATTCAAAAGATTTTGGAGGAAGATATCCCATCTTTTTTAAGTAAAACCAGGGCTCAGCAGAACAAAATTTCATCAAATTATTACATATATTTTATGAAACAGACATCTGATGGAAATGAAAAATAAAGGTAATAATTATGCTCCTCGTTACTCTCGTTGCGAAGAGAAGACTTCCAGCCAGAATTTCAAAAACATTTAGCGTTAATAGAAGAAATCTCGGAACAAATATTTGGTAAATAATTATTTGTATCTATTTATTATTTTAAAATAAATAAAAACATTACAAAGCAAAATTCTGGATAGGTACTGATTTTTGAACCATATGAAAAAAATTCCACTTATTAATTTTGTTTGCCTAGCTTGGCAGGAGGAAAAAAATTCCGAAAAATTTGAAGGTTGTCATGGGCAACTGTCGAAATTACAGTATGTTAAAATGACAAGGTGAAAAAAAGTGCTGTCCTAGACCAACAGGAGCCGGGCCTCACAGTTACGACCTCATTTAAGCTTCTAGAAGCTACAAAGTTTCAGTAATATCCCTTTAAGGCTTCGACATATTAAAAAATATGTATAATTACTAAGTTGATTTAACCAAAAATTGAGTGTACGCCCTGTACGTTTCGTAATTTAGAGCAAAACCCAGTATCGGCCGAACGCAAATTCCAATTTGTACTTTTTTTAAATCATACCGCAAAAATATATGGCCCAATCAATATTCCGACATTAAAAAACGATGTAATCCGGCACCCCGAAAGATTTATTTTTTTAATACAGGCTTGAACCGAGTCCATTAGTCCCTGGGGATTTTTTTAGGCTTAATCCCCTCTTTCGTCCCGTTTGTTGCGTTTACCACTGCCAGGATCGAAAACCGCTGGAACGCTATAAATATCCAACAAAAATTTTATCCACTAAATATTATTAATAAGGTTAGGGACTGCGTTAAGAACTCGTCTGGAATAGAATGTGGAAATTGTAAGATCTATAGTGGCTATTTCTACCTACATCATGTGAGGCGAGCGGTCTGTTCACAGCCGACTGGATAGATATGAGATACCCGAGGAATCTTGAAACTAACTTTAATCCCGGCTTAACCCAGTGTTAAGCCCACCAAGGTTAGAGGCATCTGACGAAGATCAATACGGACCTCTCTGTAAGATCCGCGGGTCTTTCGTTGGAAGACAAAGGAAACGGATACGACCAGATCGAACCTCTGAACTTGGACAAGAAAGTCCGGCACACAAATACCGATACAAGTCGGTGTTACAAGTTTAATGAATTTAAAATTCGATAAAATTCATATCGAGCAATGTGACAAAGGCGCGGCAGATAACACGAGGTACTAAGCTGTCCAGCAATACTCAATTCAGTTGGTATCTGGAATTGGACACATAATTTAATATTAATAGATTTATCTAACACGTCTTTACTTATATTAGGTAGAGTATATTTAGGATACAGTATGACTTTTTTTGTTAAATAAGTCACATGATTATCAAACCGCAGTCTATCATCAATTCGCAAGCCTAAACTCTTAACTTGTTTTACAAACGTTAATAATTTATTACACAAAATAATATTGAAATTGGGGTCCTTTATAATACTTTCAGATTTATTTCCAAACATTATCATTTCGGTTTTATTTTCATTCAATAATAGATTATGTGCTCGTGCGGCCATAGTTATTGAATTTAAATCTTCATTGATATATTATGAAGCTAAAAGTATACAGGGTAGCCCATCGAAAACGTACCGCAAGGCATTACAGGGTAGTAATGAACTTTTCGGCAAAATCCAAAAACAGGTAAAGTTTGCTTCTGAGGGGGACAACTTTTGGCGCAAAAAGCATAGCAAAATCTTTAACCCCCTAAGTGGGGGTGCCATCCCCCAAATTTTTTTAAATGGGAATGGGGGTCAAGTGGGGGGTCATTAGAAAGGGCTTTTAATTCTCTATACATCGATTCTTACTTTTTGAAAATCGATTCATTATTTTAGAAAATATGCAGCTTTGAAAATACGAACAATATTTTTGACGAGAAATGCGAAAATCGATTTAATTTTACTTCAAAACTTACGGTATTAGTCAAGTAAATGCTGAAAATGTTGTCCGCCAACTTGCATATAATGATACAGGTTGTCTTCAAACCGTTGTCGAACATTTTGGAGCACTTGCGGTGTTACTTCGCGTCATACATTAATGATTCGTCCTCGCAGATCTTCCAAGGTATCAGGTGGAGTGCTGTAAACTTTGCTTTTAATGTGCCCCCAGAGAAAGAAATCTAAAGGATTTAAGTCGGGTGACCGAGGGGGCCACTCGATTGCACCTCTTCGTCCTATCCAACGTCCTGGAAGGTAATAGCGCACATTGAGCGAGTAATGTGGAGGAGCTCCGTCTTGCTGGAAAATTAATTCGTGTTCATTGTAAGCAGGGTCGTCCTCTATGATATTTGTTAGAGCTGGGTCGATGATATTTTGTAGTAAATCCAAGTACATATCGCCTGTCAAATTTCCAGGAAGGAAAAAAGGACCTACAACGGAATTTCCAAAAATACCTGTCCATACATTCAACTTCTGGGGGTGTTGAGAGTGTGTATCATGGAAAATCCTTGGATTGGTATCAGCCCAGTAACGACAATTATGGCGATTCACTAAACCATTTAAGAAGAACGTACACTCGTCCGAAAAACACACATTAAAGAGGAAATTATCGTTTATCGCTCGTTCAGTCATTATTTCGCAAAATTGCAAACGACGATCAAAATCGTCCTCATTTAGCTCTTGCATTAGCCGAATCTTATAAGGATGGAATTTGTATTTTTTTAATATTCGTTGGACACTTGTACGACTCACTCCTGTCGCAGTAGACAATTGCATTGGACTCAGCGTACTATCCATTGCCACTTGCCCCAATACCGCTATTTCCGTAGGTTCATTTAGTACCGGATTTTCAACCTGCCTCTTTTTGTTATGAACGGAGCCAGTTTCGCGAAATTTGGCCACCAATTTGCGAACAATTTTTCCAGACGCATGTTTCTCAGGATGTCGTTGGTTGAACAGTTCGGCGACCCGATTTCCACATTCAATGTTTTTGAAAAAAAGCTCAATAATTTCTACTCTTTCTGGAATTACCTACCCTGTATTAGATAAGTGAAAAGAAAAATATAGTTGAGTATCAGCGTACTGATGCATTTT